ACGACGAGACGTAGACGTAGTACGTACGTACGTACGGTACGTCGGTCGTCGTCGTCGTCGTCGTGTGTGTGTCGTCGTCGGTACGTACGTACGTACGACGACGACGAGAGAGAGAGAGAGAGAGAGAGAGAGTGAGTTTGAAGGGGAAGGAGCTTGTTTTCTTGTTTATACAGCCTTGAGGCTTGGGGTTCAAACTTAGCCCCATTTGCCATGTCCAATTAGGGTGATTCCCATGCGGGATGGAGTAAAATGAAAAATTTACTAAAAATGGGGAAAGGAGGCTTGAATCGGCCAAGGTCTGATTTCTACTTGCATTGCCCAATTGGGGTGATTCTAGGGTCTATTCTTTTTATGGGTAATTCAGTCGGGAAGATAGACCCCTACGGGGTGATTCCAGAGTCTTATTCTTTTTTTGGGTAATTCCGTCGGGAAGACAAGCTCCTACGGGGTTATTCCAAAGTCTTATTTTTTTTTTTGGGTAATTCAATCGGGAAGACAAGTCCCTAAGGGGTGATTCCAGAGTCTTTTTTTTTTTTTGTGGTAGCATCCCCATTCCCTAGTCACCACCTTGTGGTATCCATTTTTATTTATACTACCCTACTAACACCTTAAAAACACAACTAACTTCTAAATTATTTTAAAAAAAAGGGTAGGGGCATTTCTTCCCCACTAAATTATCCAAAAAAGCAAAGGGAAAGGTTTTTATGCTTCCCTTATAGCATAGAAGTTCTATCCTCCCCCTGCCATCCAGCCATCCAATTTCGATCGAGAGAGCCACTCACCGTTTGATCTTAGATCCGACGTCTCAAAGTAGTTTATTTTTAGTTTTTTTTATACAAATTGTATGAATATGAAATTTGGTACATGTCATCTTTTTATTGGGGCGCATCTATAAAAAATATTAAAAATAATTTTTCGATAAAATTTAATGACCAAAATACCTTTTGAAATTTTCAAGGGTATTTTGGTCATTTGATTTTATTGAAAATATTTTTTATATATTTTTCGCTAGTACTAGTTTAATAGAGGAATGGACGTCCAAAATTTGGTGTCAAAATAATTTATAGAAAAAAATTAAAGATAAAATAGTGTAGACAAGTGACATTGTGATTGGGGCAATCTTATCCTTCCATTCAAAATAAACGATTGCATAAGGGGGAGGATAGAACTTCTACGCTACAGGAGAAACATAAAAAGCTTGCCCAAAAGTAACATATGAAAGACATAAGAAAGAAAGAAATGAATGAGGAAAACAGTTCCATGTAGGAATCCGGGAGTAAGAAGTAATGGATGACTTGGCAACTTATGAAGTGGGCCGGGGCGGGGACCAAGTGGTAGGTGTGGGCCGTTATCACGAGTTTCTTCATTTCTTTTTCAGAAAAAGTAAGATCAATTTTAGAAAATATTATTTTTCAAGTTCTCTTTGTTGCTGATTGCTAATGTTTTTCTTCTTTGCTTCTAAGTTTTGGTGAAGAAAGCGACTGACCCTTGTTTACTTCCAAGGATCGAACACTTGAATTGGAGTTACAAGGCCTTTTAAATTAGTGGATGACAAAAAAAGTACGCTATGTTTTTACATTTCTTCAAAGAATGTTTACCTTCTTGACATCAATTGGCCAATTCGTTTTCTTGCTCATTTATGCTTTTCACAAGACAGGCCTAGACAATCAAGACATTACTTTCCTATTTTGCCTTTTGTACAGGGTTCATGTTCCTTGTTTGATGAATAGAGAGAGAGGAGGGCACTTAAAAGCCCATATTCTCTTTTTGAGTGCGTACAGCATGCTTCTTCAGGAGTACATTGTACACCTATTCTCTCACCATAAATTTGGAGGTAGTTTTTTTATCTGAAATTTTAGGATTTTCCTAAAATAACAAATCGAATTTTGAGTTCTTAAACACTTTGACTTGGATGAGATCTATCCAATTTGGAGATTGTAATTTTTTTTTTTTTTTTAAGGTAAAATGTTTTGATAGGGTTGAAACCTATCAAAACAAGTAAATCCTCACTTCAAAACTCACCGAAAATTATACTCGGCGTCTGAAAACCTATAGCCATTATAGTTGCAAAAAAAGTTGGGATTTCAAGCTCTAAAATAGTATATATTGTAACACATCATCCAAACCATTCATTTCGCTTTAGTAACCGGTGGTCATGAATATGTAAGATCTGTACAATTTTTTTAGCTTTAAATTTCGTAGTCGGTGTTGAAAATTGATTTTAAAATCATCAAGATTGGAATTCAAAAGTGCTTTTCAAGTGAGAATACGAGGTGATGCTTTATTTTATTTTCGTAAAACATAGGCCATAAAAAATGCATCTTTTTTTAAACACATAAAGAGCGCATTTGATTTTATTTCCATTCCTCTTTTTCCTTTTTCGAAGTTGATCACTAGATTGAAGATGTTATGTCACCAAAAATTGAAGGGTCAAAGGTACGGTTAGGTTTTTACCGAAAGGAGTGTAAATGTTCCCAGGAGTATAAAATCTTTTTATCTTCTAAATTCCAGAAAATCTAAACGAGGCATCCAAGACTTGAGTGTCCAGGCTACATCAACTATTTGGGTTTTTCATCCCCGTTAAAAAATGAACAAAAAGTTTATATAAGTGTGAGGCTCTAAACAATCAAAGATACACCTCAAAAATTCAATGGAAGAAGTTGTTTTGTTGCTCAAAAATCCTCAAATTGATAATCTCGATCTTAAGATGCAATAAAAATAAAATGATTTCAAGTCTTGGAAATAGTACATTATGTAATGCGTTTTTTGGACCATCAATTTTTCAGATTTTTAAGTATTTATGTATTTGCTCAGTCTATACTATTTTTAAATCTTTAATTTTTATAATTAAATATGAAAATAAATTTTTAGGTCATAATAAAGATTTTCAGTACTGAAACAACAACTTTCGATACTATTTGAAGGTGCGCCTTACTTTGATTGCTCAGGGCCTCAACCTCATACAAACTACACTCTTAAAAAATTGGGTGAGGTTTAAAGTTGGACGGCGCACTTCCAAATTTTCTCATAAGATGCAATTTTAGTGTCAAAATTTTTAGGATGACCCAAAAATCTAGTTCATCTCTACTTATAAAATGTTAAACTCCAAAAATGATTAAAATCAAGTAGATCTAATGGTTGAGATAATGTATTGCAAGATATACTATTTTTGGGTATTGAGTTTTTTTTTTTTCTCATACGTATAAATCTCGATATCGAGATGACCAATTATATGGTTTTTTAACGTCAAAATAATCTTTTCCGATGATTTTTAAGGGGTATCTTACTTCTATGATTTAAGATGTCAACTTTATATAAACTGCTTCTCAAATAATTTAATGGACTGCATTGTCTAAAACAATTTAATGAACTGCGACTCGATCTATAGTCACCTTAATTTGGATGGTCGATGCTTAGTGGACCAATGATGATCACTACGGCAAATAAATAATACCTAAATAGAGGCAAGTACCAAGTCCATAATTTTTTAGTGTGCATACTATGCTCCCGCAGGAGGATAATATTCAAATAATCCATCGGAAGACCTACTTGGGAGGAGTTTTTTACTTTCAAATTTTGAGACCCACCTAAGAATCACTATATGTTTATTTTCAAAAGGTAAAGTGTGATTTAACACATGGATCTCACCTTACAAATTGGACAATCTCTATTCAATCTTGAGATTTTTTTTTTTTCATGAGGATAGAGTGTACCACTTGAAATTTTCTTTTTTGAAATTAGTCTACAGCTTGAAAAGATTATATCCCCAAAATTTAAAATCATAAATTATTTCTAGACTATCTTTTACCCAAAGGAGTAAATAGATAGTTTACTCTCTCAAGAACATGAAATCTTTTGGCTTTTAAAATAGTTAACGCCCCTTACTGGATACTCCCCGAAATGTGATAGGTAACCAACGAGACATGGGTGGCAATGCCCCAGGATGCTAAATTTGCCATTAGGCCCGGCTGGGCCTTGGGCCATGGGTTATAACCTGGCTAGCCTGGATCGTTATTTCTATTTTTATTAATACAAAAAACAAGTTTGTTTTATATTTGGCCTGGCCTCTTTGGTTGGGTTCACTTGGGCTGCGAAC